GCCTGTGAGTTAGCTTCTCCCTCTTTTCACATAAGGTAAGAAACAGAAGAAATTCTCCAAAGGACCTCCTCACGTCTCTGTGTTCTCTTCTTTTATTTCTAGTTGGACACGAAGCTCTTGAACTGAAGCAGCCTCAAGTCTCCATCACTAGAGACCTGAGTACAACAGCACGTGTGACTTGTCAAGTGTCTGGCAGTCAGAACTTTAAGGACAAGTACATATACTGGTACCAGCAGAAGCCAAACCAACCTTTGCAACATCTGCTCTTTGTCCAGTCAACCAGTGCTGCCGCAACAAAATCCTTACATGAGGTAAGGAAGAAATTTGTGGCAGAAAAGAACGAAGGCAAAGGAACCTCAATCCTAACAATAAGCAGCATAACACGTGAAGATGAGGCCACCTACTATTGTGCATGCTGGGAAGACCACAGCAGTCAGCACTCAGTGACAACACCTACAAGAATCCTGCCCTCCTCGCGGCCCTCCCCACATCCTCTTCCCTGGGGGCCACGTCCTCATTTCTGGCTCCCATCCCATTTGGCCTGTCGGTAACACTTCCTGCATTTCTTACCAAGACCATGTGGCCCATGTCTATACCACACTACATTCCTGCTCTAACTCACACAGGTTCCAAACTCCCTCCATCACCATCGTAACCATTCACATCTCTGCAGGGCTCTAAGACTTCCGATGGTTTTATGGGTTGGACCAGACAGCTTCTGAGGTCCCTTCCAATTCTCAACTTCTGTCTCTCTGCTTTTTGGAAGAGAGCCTTACTTTATATTATGTTGTCTCATCCTCTTCACCACCCTATGGAACAGGTTCTCTTTCCACTCCCATTTTACAAAGCTAGAGAAGCTAAGAGATGACTTAAGTGGTTTACCCAGCCTCACCTGTCTGAGGCAGAATTTGAACCAGATATCCCTGACTCCATGTCTGGTCCCCTGTCTATGGCTCACACATCAAAGTTGACGATTGGATCCAATATTCCTCATGAGAGAATAAGAGAAACAGGGAGAAGGAAGACATTAATCTCATCTCCTAATTCCTTAGATCTCTGAACCAACTCAAATGCTTTTTCAGGCAGTGTTTGATTAAGTGACCAGGGAAGTGCCTTCCAACACTGAGATGCCATTTTTCCTCATTACTTATGATGGTGATGGTTCGTTATCTTTGTCAGTCAACAAGTATTGATTCAGGTGGAGTGTGCCCGGTGCTGTGGGAAAGATGAAAGGAGTCCAAGACATGGTTCCCTTCAAGAAAATGTCCATAGCCTTGGGGAAATGGTCTGACCAGCAGCAAAAGAGAACAGCATGTATCTATAGATCAGCACTTCTTAAGGTATGGGTTGTGACTCCATATAGGGTTGCATAAATGAATGTGGAGAGGGTCGTGAAAAATTTGGCAGCAGTAAAAGGTTTTGGAACATGCAATGACCAAAAATTAGTTCAGAATCAAACGCAAAATGAATCTGAGGAGTTTCTGGCAGCACTTGTCTGTGTTGCATCATGCAACTTCACTATAGCCTTAGTTCCAAGCGCACAACAATTTGCCAAGTTCTTAAGAAACACAGGTTTAAAACTTGAGTTTCCTAAAAACTCATTAAATGAATTTTGGCTTGGCATTAGGACAGGATTTGCAATAATTTCTGAAATGGCCCTAAACATATTTCTGTCATTTTAGACTACGTATTAATGCTCAGCAGCATTCTCAGCATTAATGATTAGAAAATCAAAATATTGATCAACTCTGAAAAATCCTGAAGATTCTGTACATCCTGCAGTATCAAATACCCCACCAAGATTTAATTCTTTATGTAAAAATAAACAAGCGCATCCATCTCACTAGAATGCAAATTAATTTTCATCTTTAATAAATGGTGAAAGTATATGTGTATATATATATATATATCAAAGATTATTTTAAAATAAATTTCTTTATGACTTATTTTCAGCAAATGTTTGATTTGTATACCTATTTTATATACCTATATACCTGGAGTCATGTAAAAATTTTTCAGGCAAAAAGGGGTCATGAGTAGAAAAATTTTAAGAAGCCCTGCTTTAAATGACCAAGGCCTGAAGTGGGGGCAGTCAGGGAGGAGATATGTGGTCATGGGGACTAGGGGTGAGGGATGGAGAGTGCCTCATGGAGGGAAATCCAAGCAAAATGAACGATTTCAGGAGCCAGTCAAAAAGAAAAAGTGATGAGAATTCTATAAATTCTCCACTTTTGATATCACTAATACTTCCCAATGACTCTTCCTCTTCAAAAAGAACTGACTTTTTTTTTTTACAAACAGTACAGTTAAGGAAAATTGGATTAGTTTGGCAGTGTATGCCTCACTCTGTACCAGAATTCCACCACCTTTCAGATGAGAGGCAGGAGGCATGCTTTAACCATCAGTCTTCTGAAGTCATGATTGGTAATGACATCGATCAGAATTTTGATGTTTTTGCATTATGTTTTCCTTTATGCTACTGGAAGCTTCATAGAAATTGTTAGAATCCCAGCTTCTATGAAGCAACATTTTCTTTTCTTTATCTGAAACAGGTACAAATTCCAGGTCTCAAATCTTTTGCCAGAAGATTTCTTTTAAAGAGAAGTGAATTTGCTGTGTGTGGTCAGCCTTGTGTCTGTGGATTCACACTCAAATAGGTAACTTACATGTGCAAAATGTGAAAAAGGTCCTTTTGGGAAGAGTAAAGATGGGGAGACCTGTAATGAGGCAACTTTCCATTGAAGATGCTCAAGGGCCCTGACCAGGCTTGTGGTGATGGGAAGGAGGAGGAAGGAGTATATGGATAGAGGAGAAATCATGGAACTGGAATGAGCCCAATTTGGTGACTGATCAGATATGAGAGCAGAGATGGTAAAGAGTCTGCTCCCAGAGAGCAACAAACAGTACACTTCCTGTTAAACTGTCAACTAAACAGAACAAAAAAATCAACCTTGGTTGTAGGTAGAGTTTCCCATTTGGCCATGCACTGAGAAGAGGAACAGCAGTATTGAAGTAGACAACGACCATGTCATCTTTTTCCATCCTCCAAGAACCTTCTGCTTTTTATGTGACCATCCTCCATGTTGGCTGTTGCTAGGAGCAGATGTGGTCTCCTCTCCTCCCCTCTCCTCCCATCCCTTCCCCTCCCCTCCCCTCTCTTCTCTTCTCTTCTCTTCTCTTCTCTTCTCTTCTCTTCTCTTCTCTTCTCTTCTCTTCTCTTTTTTCTCCTCTCCTCTCCTCTCCTTTTCTCTTCTTTGAGGTGCTTTGTGGTTTCTTTCTGTCTCTCCCCCATCCCCCCACCTTACAGACACCCCCCACACACACACACACCCTTAGTGTTCATTTATAAGTGGCTCTGCTGGTACATTGCCAAGGTGAAGATTCAGTGTCATTTAGTGGCTCTGCTACTCATTGTCTATATGAATTCACTTCTGGGCCTTGTGAAATGACTAGCTGCTTTATTATGATTCTTCCTTTGACATCCTAGAATCTGCAGTCCATTTCATTTTCATATTTTATTCAGTTTCCACTTTATTCAGAATTTATACTTTCTTCTATTATCTCCTTCATCCCTTAGGACACCATTAAGTGAATGTCCTTCCTATGGATCACATGAGGACGCTGTGATCTTGCTCATTTATTGAGAAGTGTGCAGTCTATTCAATCCTTCTCAAGAAGACTCTCTTTCCATCATACAGACTCCAAGGAACAGTAAATCTCTGGACTTGCCCCGTGATCAAACAGCCACATTACAAGTGTGATGTTTGGGAGTTCTGTCTACCTATTTATATTCATTCCTGGATGAAATATTGCCTCTGTTCGTGTCCCAGGATGAGCCTTGTGGTGGCCATGATGTTTTTGTTTAGCAGGTGATCAGTGTGATAGCTCAGGATGGGTCAAAAACTTTGCAGAAGGAACTCAACTTATAGTTCTTGGGAGAGGTGAGTGCTTTTTTCTTCTTATCCACATCGGGGTAATTCAAGTCAATTCAATGCACTTTTATGAAGCACCTACTCTGTGCCAACACTGAGTCAGGAGGGGGTTTTGAATTCTGGCTTTGCAATTTACCATTTGGGTGATTTTAGACAAGTCAGGTCATCTCTTTGAGCCTCAGTTTCCTCCTATATAAAATAAGAGGGTGGGTTTAAGTGACTTCTGAAAGCCCTGCCAGCTCTAAACTTTTAAAATACTTTTCAGAAGAAAGGCCTTCACCTGAAATAGACTGATTTAAACACACACACACACACACACACACATGCCTCCCTGATTCTTGGCCGTAATCCACAGTTGGAATCCCAACTACCATCTATGAACAGATAGAGCCCATAAGGCATAAGATACAAAGAGTCTGGTGTGGGCAGACAAGGTTCCTGGATAGGTCATTGTTTGCTTCGTAAGCTGATTAAGAGACTTCTCACAGAAACAATAGCATCAGCTCCCTTCTCTGTTGGGCTTCAGGACTGACAAAGCCTTCCTCTCATGACCCCTCACCCGTCCACCTAGGCCACCGATTCCACAGGGATCATCCTCAGATAATTCAATTGTAGAATTTAGAGCTAGGACTTGTAGTCGAATGCCTTCATTTGACAAGTGAGTAAACTGAGGTTCAGAGGCTTTATCCATAGTCACATAGCTAAAAAATGAACCTTCAAACCCAGGTCTTCTGACTCCAAAAGCGGTACCCTTTCCACTGTACCGGTACAGATCTTGGTAATTCCAAAGAGACTGGATTAATTCTGAGGGAAGCGATGTTTTTGAATAATATGTTCACATGGGATGTAAAGTAGGGTAAGGCAGACAAACCCGGGAATGAGAGGAAGATAGCTTTTTAATGATAACAAATGATTTAGCAAAGGCACTGAGCTAATCATTTTGGATTTAGGGACTTTTCTGTAGATGGTGATGAGTGAGATTTGCCAGGGCTAAGGCTGTATCTGTCCTATTTGTATCACCCATCGTGCCCCTTATCCATGGCAGACACTTAAAAGTGTAGAATTTACATAAACATGAATGAGAGTCCAACAGAAAACATGGGTGAATGCTCATGCATGACAGCAGGAATACTCTACTCAAATTCTGCCTTGGACTGGATAGTCAAGGCTCATGAAGATGGCCACACAAGGGGGAGTAATCAATGTGGCAGCATCTTTGATGATGACAATCCATGTAGATGGACTCTCACTAATCCACCCTTTGAAAAATGGGATCAGATGGGCTCTATGATAAGTACCCTAAGTCTAAGCTTATTAGTAAGTAGGTGACAAAAGGGACCCTCAGGAAAGTTGGGTGCACTCTTAGGGAGTCAGGAGCTTGTCAGAGTTTAGGGGGTTATAAGGTGGGGAATAATGCAGGAAGAAAGGGAGCATATGAATTGTATGACCCTGGGCAAATTACTTTCCATTTTGTGCCTCAGTTTCCTCATATGTATAATGAGGGGGTTGGGGCTCCATGACTGCTAAGGTTAATTCCAGCTCTCAATTTATGATCTTGTGCATGCTCAAAATTGTCTTGGCCACTTTGATTGAACTAGCCAGTTAATTTTTTAGTGGGTTGATTCAATCTAACAACCAGTTCAATTTAGTGGAGAAAATATTTAGCAAACTGACTTTTGGCTCATCAATTCACTTAACACAACCAGTGGAATTGTGGGTCCAAATTCTTTCATTATGTCTTCCACCCATAACTTCCTCTCCCCATGGTGGCCATCCTAGTGGAAACTTTTTTTACAGCCTGGATAATCATTAATGGCTTCCTAGTGGCTGATCCACTTTCCCTCTTTCCCCACATCCAACCCACTCTTCACATGGCTGCCCGACTATCCCTTCCTAAGGCTTAGATGTCATTCCACTGAATGTACAAGAATCCTCAGTAGCTCCCAACTGCCTTACTAAGTAAAGTTCAGAGTCTCAGTTTCTTCCCCTGTAAAATGGGAGTAATAATATTTATATGACCTCGCTTCCAGAGTTGCTGTGAGGGAAGCTTTTGATAATCCTTAAACTGCTTTAGAAATGAAAGATGTCATTATATACACATACAAGTGTATTGGGCGGGGGGGACTAGCTGATGCAGGTGGCAGGATTGGGAAAGTGAGCCCAGAGAGGAGCTGAACGAGCATCAGTCTAGAGGAATGATGTATCACTGCCATGTAGCATAGCATAGTGAAAAAGACTGTTTTACTCATTCAAAAGCATGTCCCACTGATGCACAGGAAGAGGAGAAGGAGGGGGAAAATGGGAACAGATCCAGCCCTCCATCCTAAGCCATGACTGAGGCCTCTTTAGGGGAATTCTAAGGTAGGGCTTTTTCTTTTTTTGCAGATTCATGTTTTTGTTTATTGATTTTCAATGCTATGAGAAGTTTAAACAAATCTGTAGATTTTTTTCTCCATACTCTCTTTTTTACTAATTTATTTTTAGTTTTCAACATTTACTTCCATAAGCTTCTGAGTTTTAAATTTTCTCCCCATCCCTCCCTGCCTCCCTCCCTAAGATGGCACGCAATCTGATATAGGCTCTACATATACATTCCTAGTAAACATATTTTCACATTAGTCATGTTGTAAGGAAGAATTAGAACCAATAAAAGGAACCACCAGAAAGAGGAAACGAAACAAAACAGAAGAAAAATAGAGCAAATCGTATGCTTCGATCTGCATGCAAACTCCCTAGTTCTTTCTTTGGATGTGGATAGCATTTTCCATCATGAGACTTTTGGAGATGTCTTAGATCCTTGCATTGGTGAGAAGAGCTAAGTCTATTAAAGTTAGTCATCATACAATGTGGCTGTTACTTTGTACAATGTTCTCCTGGTTCTGCTCACTTCACTCAGCATCAGCTCATATAAGTCCTTTCTGAAGTCTGCCTGCTCATCATTTCTTATAGCACAATAGTATTCCATTACATTCATATACCACAACTTGCTCAGCCATTCCCCAGTTGATGGGCATCCCCTTAATTCCAATTCTTTGCCACCACAGAAAGAGCTGCTCTAAATATTTTTGTACATGTGGATCCTTTTCCCATTTGTATGATCTCTTTTAGATACAGCCCTAGAAGTGCTATTGCTGGGCCATAGGGTATGTACATTTTCATAGCCCTTTGGGCATAGTTCTAAATTGCTCTCCAAAACAGTTGGATCAGTTCACAACTCCACCAACAAATGTATTAATGTTCCAATTTTCCCACATCTCCAACATTTATCATTTTCCTGTTTTGTCATGTTAGCCAACCTGGAACATGTGACATGGTACCTCAAAGTTGTTTTAGTTTGCATTTCTCTAATCAATAGTGATTTAGAGCATTTTTTCATATGACTATAGATAGCTTTAATTTTTTCATCTGAAAACTGCCTGTTCATATACTTTGACCATTTATCAATTGGGGAATGAAGGTAGGGGATTTTCTAAGGGGCTTAGACATCATAACACAATGTTTCTGGGATATTCTTCTATATCCAAGTGTTCAGCTCTGGAACAGCACTCACCGTGACTTAAATCTGTCATGTGCACATAATATTTTGGCAGTAAGATGTAACTCCCGTATGGGGAAATTGTGCCTTGTCTTTCAAAAATAGTTTGGGATCAGAAGACCTGGGCTCAAATTATGGCTCTGGAACTTACGACCTGTGGGAAACAGGCACTGTGATATAATGGAAAAGCTCTGGATTTGGAGACTGGGAGCCTGAATTTAAGTGCTGGCTTTGTCTCCTGTGTTCATAGGAATGCAGAGAGTGGGCATGCTACTCCATGCATGCTTATGGATATATAGTGGCATCTTTCTCCATGAATGGGAAGCACCTAAGGGTACCTACTCATACTCTTAGACACTTGTCTGGGGCACTGAGAGGTTCAGTGACTTGTCCAGAGTCACACAGCCAGCAGGGTCAGAAGTGGGACTTGAATCCAGGCCCTCCTGTCTCTGAAGCCAGCTCTCTATTCAGTATGTTATACTGTTTCCCTAATAACAATAATCATAATAACATTGTAGGGTTACAAAGTGCTTTATAGTCATTATGTTATATGAGCTGTACCCCACCACAATGAAACAGGCAAGAGAGATATTATTATCCCCATTTTACAGGTAAGAGAACTGAGGCTCAAGGAGGTGAGGTGACTGATCCAAGGTCTAGATTTGGAGATTTTGTAAAGGACTCAGACATTGTGTGCCAGAGTATACGTCAAAGTATTTGGCTCTGGAACAAAACTCATTGTGGCAGGTATGTTCCATGACAACAAGGTCACTGTGCTTTGTGTGCTGATGGTTAGACAGGACCCAATGTGGGGGTTCTGAACCCAATCTTATAAAAAGGAGTTTATGTTCAAAGAACCTGTATCCAAATGCCAGTTCTGCCAACCTTTGGATTCTTGGGTGACTTGGGGTGAGTCACATAACCACTCTCTGTGTCTCAGTTGTATCATCTATAAAATAAGGGAATTGGACCAGATAGTCCCTTCCAGGTCAGAATTCTGTGAAAATGCTGACGTTTGTGGAGAAAACATTTAAGAGCTGTGTGAAACATGTTAAATACAACATTGCATTTGCTTGTTGCAACACTGAAATGGTTACTACCATTTTCATTGTTCAGATAAGGAAACTGAGTCTTGGAAGGGCAAAGTAGCTTGCCCAGAGTCATATAGTTAGTATATCTTGCAGGCAGGATTTGAATCTGGGTCTCTCCTGACTCCAGGTAGAAAGCTTTTTCCAATTGACATTACCCTATCTCTCCTGGTTACAAGCTAATGTTTACACTCTAAGAATTCTCTGGAACATTCAGGAACAGCCTAAGTGCTCAAATGGAGAATCATTGAATGAAATTTGGTGCTAGGCATCGGACACCCAGATCCCTGGCACCCAAGGGAATGGCTGGAGGGACGACATAGCTTGATTTTTTTTCCTCTAACATCTACAGCCTTGGGCATTTTCTTGACCCAGAAAGGCATAGGTTTGAACAGTTACTGTGATAGAAATTCAACTTCCGTCCAAGGTTTTTCACACTTTGAAAAAAAATGGGAATTTTTCCTAATTTACAATTATGCTCAATAAGTCATCAGATAAATTTAAAAAAAAACTTTGTGGGGCTGGAATGGGTATTTGTAGAGGTGGAATGAGACAATAAAGGGGGAAAGGAGAAGAAAAGAAATAGGGAAGAATTTATAAGGATTCAATGTAAATGTTAGGTTGGAGAACTAAGGTTCATTGAAAAATCGACTGAAATTTGGTAAATTTATGGAGAATATACAGACAAGAAAAAATACCCCAGAGACAAATCCGTTGGCCCCGCAGCGTGCCTTGATTCTGTCTCTGGCTGTGGAGGAGCTCCTCAGATGGTTTTTGTATCTGGCTGCCCCACAGTGGGACCTGTTAAAGTCTTTGGTGAAGGGACAAAGCTCATTGTGACAAGTAAGTGTTTCAATTATGTTTCCATCAGATAATCCCAGGTGAAAAGTAGGACTCAGTCCCTTTGGGGAAGCAAAAAACTACAGCCACTGAATGTCTGCGAGTTAAGTGGGTTATTTTGCAGTGGGGAGGCTGTGGGTACCTTCCTGAAGTAGTGGCAGTGGAGAAATTTTGTTCTGGAGAGAACGGGTGCAATGGACCAAGGCTCGGGGGAGATGCTAGGCTACTTCGAAGAATGTTCTTCTGTCATTGTTATTGTCATTCTATTTTATTTTTGCAAATGTGCCTGATAAAATTCTCTGAGTAAACACTGTCTAAGGTGCAAACCAACCTTCTCATTTTTATGCTTATGATTTTTCCTCTTATTCCTTTGACTTCACTGTGGCTTCATACTGATTGCTTAAGATTCTATCATATGAAGGAAAAGTTAGGGAAATGTTAGCATCTATTAAAATCTCATTAATAGTAAAAACAAGACTGCATGAAACTAAATATATCACATTTTTACCTACGACTGTTTATGATTTAAGGTTTTCTTTTATTTAAAAGACCATTCATAAAATACCATATCCATAAATTCCTGTCATGCCCATGACTGTGCCAGAGGGATCAGATGTGCTTTGCTTGGCCCCAGGGGCAGAGCTGGAAGCAATGAAAGAAGTTGCTTGCAAAGAGGCCAGCTTGGGCTGGAGGTTGGGAAGAACTTCCTCCTGAGGACTGCCCCAGTGGGAACTAGGTGGAAGTGAGCACCCCTTCATCAAAGAAAGCTGGCTGGTCCCTTGACCGTTCTATTCCAGTGGGAATTCTTTGGGCGGCCGTGGGTTAGTCTACATTTGACATAAATGTAAAAGCCATTCTTAGCTCACAGACCATGCAAAAACAGGCAGGGGTGGTGGGCAGGAGCCACAGTTTGCTGGCCCTAAGCTGAATGGTCATCAAGGTCCCTTTAAGCCAGAACATTCCAGGGATCAATGACTCTGACAATGACGTCAGTGTAAAAGTTGAACTTCGTAGCTTGGCAGTCAGGTGCGATCCATTAACAGAAGTCTCTTGAATATCTTTTTAAAATTGCTGGGAGTCAGGGGACCTGGGTTCAGATCTGTGCCTTATTCCCCTCCTTGTTTGATTTTGAGTAGGTCGTAACCTCTCGGTGCCTTTGTTAACTCATCTATAAAATGGAGGAATTCTAGAGCCAGGGGTTCTAGGCACTGTGAACTTTATACATGCATACACAGATAGAGATATACACATGTATCTATCTGTCTATCTATCTATCTATCTATCTATACGGGTGTGTAGTTATATGTGTGTGTATATATATATATGTATGTATATATGTCTGTGTGTGTATAGTTATCATCATATTTCAATGCACTTAGTTTCCTTGCACTCCTGTGCATTTTATTTTATGTGTCTAAAAGCATTATCCTGAGAAGGGGCCCGTAGACTTCACCAAACTGCTGTCAAAGGGATCCAGAACACAAAAACACAAAAAAATGTTAAGAAATACTGCTCTAGACAATTACTAAGATCCTTTCCAGGTCTAAATTACATAATAATAACAAGAAAGCCGACTTTTATATAGGTAAAAGCTTCTAGTTTATAAAAGCACTTTATACCTTTTAACTCATTTCATCCTTACAGCAATGACGTGACTGTAATCCCTGTTCTACAGATGGGAAAACTGAGGATTAGAGAAATAAAGTGACTTGCCCAAAGTCACACACTTAGTGTCAAAGGCAGAATTTGAACTTGAGTCTCCAGTCCAGGTCCCAAACTCTTTTCCACCTCTACCACACTGACTCTCATGTTACACAGCAGGAATTCCCCAGAGGATTCAGGGACAACCTAACTTCAAATGGGGAAGTGCAAAAAAAAAAAAAAAGTCCCCCAGATCATAGTCACTCTGGAGATTATTCGACCATTGGAAAGTGACTATGTCTTCGGAATTTTTCTAAGTATCCAAGGTGTCATTGGTGTTTTCTTGCCACCCAGAAAGAAAGGGCAGAACATTTACTGTGACTGACATTTGGTTTCCTTTTGAGGTTTTTTAATCTTTGCAAAAGTCGGCATGCTCTCTAACTAATCAAATAAATTAGAAAAAACTGTCACAAAACTAAGAAGAGTATTTTGACAGGAGTAATGAGAGGAATGAGGGTACAAATGGAAGGAAAGAAATAGACATTTACAGACAATCAACCCTAATGTGGAAGTTGGAGAACTAATGTTAATTGAAAATACGGCTGAGATTTGGTCAATGTAGTTTGTGGAACTGGAATGAGTATTTTTAGAGGAAGAATGAGCAAATAAAGGGGGAAAGGAGGAGAAAAGAAATAGGGAAGAATTTATAAGGATTCAATACAAATGCTTAGGTTGGAGAACTAAGGCTCATTGAAAAATTGACTGAGGTTTGGTAAATTTATGGAGAATATACAGACAAGAAAAAAATACCCCAGAGACAAATCCTTTGGCCCCGCAGTGTGCCTTGATTCTGTCTCTGGCTGTGGGGGAGCTCCTCAGATGTTTTTTGTATCTGGCTGCCCCACAGTGGGACCTGTTAAAGTCTTTGATGAAGGGACAAAGCTCATTGTGACAAGTAAGTGTTGCAGTCATGCTTCTATCAGTTTCTAGGCACCCTAAGTATAAAATGAGTTTTGGTCCATTTGGGAAAGCAAAAAACCACAGCCATTGAATGTTAAGTGGGCTATTTCCTAGTGGGGCTGGCTGTGAGGATACAGCTGGAATTGGTGGGAATAGGGAAATCATTCTGTTCTGGAGGGGACGGGTGCACGCAGTAAAGGACCATGGCTCTAGAGAGAGAGCTAGTGCTACTTTGCTGTATCTTTTCATTATTTTAGAATATTGGGAAATGAAACCAACGAACTCCTCTGGATAAAAAAAAAAAAAAAACTAAGGTGAGAATCCAACTTCACATTTAATTAACTGATTCCCCCAGTCCCTTTGACTCTGGTATGGCTTTACAATGTACATGACTCCATGATGTTAAGGAAAGGTGCGGGAAATGGGTAGGTTTCGTTGTTGTTGCAGCATTAAATCAATGAAAACTTCACGAGCATTAAAAACAGCGGTGAGGGGAGCTAAATTCATCACATTTGGCAGGTGACTGCTCAAGATGTGATAACAATAACTTCACTGGATCAGATTCAGGATTAGCAGTAAGTGCTTTGGTGTTTTTGTGTATGTCTCAAGCTAAGGCTCAATTTGAAATCAGAAGACCTTGATTTTGAATTCTGTTTCTGCCACATACTGTGTGACCTTGGGCAACTAATTTCCCCTTGTTAGACCTCAGTTTCCTCATCTATAAAATCATAGGCTTAGGCTAAATGGTTAAGGTTAATGATTAGGCTGAGGTCCCTGGCAGCTCTAAATCTAGGATCCTAATTAACAAGGTCTAAGATAACAATCATTACCTTCCTCTGCTGATTTGACCCAAAAAAATTCCCTCTTCAGTCATGAACACTGTCTGATAATTTAAAAAAAAAATACCACATAGTCTGGATCCATGGAGGGCCACAAATTGACTTAGAAAACTACAAATTAACATTATTTATGTTATGTTATATTTTTATTTATTTTGTAAAACATTTCCCAATTACATTTTCGTCTGGTTTGGCTCACACGGTAGAGTTTTACAATAGTGAGTTTGACATCTCTGGACTGGATGTCTGCCTTATTATATATTTGGAGTTCAAATGGAAAGAATTTTAAGTCATTCTCCAAAGATGTTGATCATTCTTCTATAATTCATCAGATCATTTAGTCTACAAATTATATTTCTCTTGTCAATCTAATACTATGGTTTAGTTATTGCTATTTAGTTATTCTTCAGTCCTTCGTGGGTTCTGTTCATTTCATCGGTGTTCATTGGCCTTCAGACATAGGTTACACTCCCTCCTCAGCTTCCAAAGTCTTCACGAGTTTCTCCAGCCCCTCACCCCCACCTCAGCACCAAATCATCAACTTCTGAAGAGGTTCACTGAGCATAGCTTGGCTGGTTTGGGGATGGTGGACACACAGCTTGTTGCCCATCTCGGAGGAACATACCAGAGCTTGTGATCCATTGACATAAACTTTAAGAAGGCAGATCCCTCCCACATGAGGAGGCTCTTAATGGAAGAATTTAATGAAACACTGGTGAATTCATTGGCTGCTTCTACCCCTCTGGCAGCAGCTCCACTAAGATTCCACATTCAGTCTTAACGATATAGTCAGTTCTCACAAGAAGCCTTCACAGCATCAGATCCATCAGCCTCTTCATAGTGCCAATGTAAGTTATAATTAGAAGGGATCTGGAGCAATCCTCTTGCCAATTGGATAGACAAAACATGGTGGGGTTGGGGATTGGAGGGGAAATTAAGTGATTAAATGTATCTGTATTTGAAAGATGCTGAGATACACAAAAAATTCCCAATTATTAGGTCAATTCAACCCAGGAAAAGGCATGAACAAATCAGCTAGAATTTTTCCAGTGGGAGTCTTCAATAATGTTTTAAACTCACATAAAACTTCAGAAGGTAAAGGCCATTTTGAAAACACCAATAGAATCATTTCTACAAAATGTTTTGGACAAGGCACAATGCATTGTTACTGGTAAATGTATATATGGATATACAAGATAATGATATACAAAATAAAGTCAACCCCTCTTCTGGAAAACAATTACTGTGGGGAAAGAGCATCCTTTATCAACAGAAAGCAACTTGGAAAGTTTAGAATGTTTTTTTTTTTCATGCACTACTTGGCTTCTCAAACTTAGGCTATAATTGATACTTTTGGAAGGAGTATGAAATAATATACTCTTGAGTAACCTAATGATTTTCCTGTGAAAAATTAAGAAAAAATGTAAACTTAGAAACTGAGCAGAATTTTTTTAAATAATATTTTATTTTTTCCCCAATTACATGTAAAAACAATTTTTTAACATTTTTTAAAGTTTTGAATTACAGATTCTAACCCTCCCTTCCTTTCTTCCCCACTCCCCGAGACAGTGAGCAATCTAATACAGGTTATACACGTGCAACTATCTAAAACATTTACATATTAATCATTTTGTATAAGAAATTTGAACAATAGAAAAAGAAAGAAAGTAAAAAATAGTGTGCTTTGGTCTTTATTCAGATAACTTCAATTCTTCCTGGGGAGGTGGATAGCATTTTTCATCATGAGTCCTTTGGGATTGTCTTGATTCATTTTATTGCTGAGAATAGCCAAATCATTCACAGTTCTTCATCATACAATACTGTTTCTATGTACGTTGGTCTCCTGGTTCTGCTCACTTGACTTTGTTTCAGTTCACGTAAGTTTTTCCAGGTTTTTCAGAAATTATCCTATTTGTCATTTCTTACAATACAATAATATTCCACTACATTCATATACCATAACTTGTTCAGCCATTCCCCAATTGATGGGCATCCCCTCAATATTCAATTCTTTGCCACCACAAAAAGAGCCGCTATAAATAGAATTTTAAGAATTTGAAAGCTTCATATTCACGTTCAAAAGTTGCATTCTGATTTATTTCCATAGAACACTGATGTGAAATTCTCTTTGGCAATAACTAATGTGCTTTGTTAAAACTTTCCCAAGTATTTGATCCTGTATAAAATCAAATAAATCAGGTGACATTAGAATTAAGTCTGTAGAGAGAAAAACTGGTTCCTTAGTATTGCCTAGGAAAAAAATATCTGGTTTAATTCTAAAAGAAATTTTTCACAAGCCAGCCAGTTCACAAGAATGGCCCTTTTTAATATCATCTCCCATCCCAAAGGCCAGATTTCCTATGCAATGTACTGTATCGTCAAAACTGTTGAACACCCAGAAATAATGTGTTGAAAGTATTTGAGGGGTTATCATCTGGAAGAGGGCTTCACCCTGTTTTACTGCTTGACTCGCGAGGGCAGAACTGAGTTGGAAAGAGGCAAATTTCTACCCGATATAAGGAAGATCTCTCTAACAATTCAAGCCATCCAAAAGTGGATGGAGCTGGCTTTAGAAGCAGTGGCTGCCTCACCTGGATGACCACTTGAGTATAGCATATAGGGAACATTTTTTTCAGTTTTGGGTTGGACCAGATGACCACTGTGGTCCTTTTCAACTTTGAAATTCCATGAGTCTAAAAAAAATGGTGCCCCAGGAGGCCTAAGGGGCATCTCTCCTCGTCTCAGATAGTATTAAGGTTCAGGATTTTCTTCGACCTGCATTAGATGGCACTAATATTAGTCTTTCAGTTTTCCCAATAATAATCTTTGTGTTCTTTGTTTTTCTCTGTAGATTCTGTTATCAAAAAGAAACCACCAAAGCCCATATTTTTTCTCCCTACTTTGGAGGAGGTGAAGCAGAAAAAATCTGGGACCTACATTTGCCTGCTGGAGGATTTTTTCCCCAATGTTGTTAAAACACATTGGAAAGAAAATGAGAACTCACAGCCTCTGGCTGCACAGCTTGGACCTATCACTATGACCAATGGTTACTATTCACAGGTCAGCTGGCTGACTGTGCAAGAAGAGAACTTGTCTAAAAACCTCACCTACTTCTACCAGCATGAGGATGTGGGCACAGAACCTGTGGCAGTTACTGTTCCTTCAGTTTTGGAACGTATGTACCCGAATCTCACAAGTGGGGAAACAAAGCTCCGCATTTTTCCATATTAGCTTCTCTCTCTCCAAGGGCTTTCCAACAGCAGGATGAAGAATCGACCTCACTGTCAGCCTCCAAAAATCAATCAACAATTATGTATTAAATACAGTATGCCAAGAGCTATTAAGCACTTTGGTTGCAAATTAAAAATAAAAAGAGCCCCTGCCTTCAAAGAGTTTATATTCTAATGGGGGAGATTAGACAGATAGAGACAGAGACACAGAGACTGAGAGACAGAGGGAGAGAGAGAGACAGACTGGAGATGGGGGGTGGGGGAGAGAGAGACACACACACAGCCTAAGAGCCCCAGAGAAGGGTCCGAGGTAGGAGGAGTTATAGAAGAGATGAGGAAAGGAGAGGGGCAGTGCTGGCTATTTCTCTGAATGCTGGCTCAGAATTGTGACTCTTCTTTGGGTTCCAGTGACTTGGTCTTTTAAATGTATTGACTGCTTTGGTGTTCATAGGTGTCCATTTTTTCACTAAGATGTAACCTTCAAAACCAACAAGGAAACCAACCCTGAGTGCCCCTTAGACCAGGAAGCTGCTTTTAATGAAAACATACATAAGGATCCCCAGACAGGTTGTTTTTAATGCATATCATTTGTCACTTCAATGAACTGGCTGACGAAAAGGTCATGAGAAACTTCCTAATAAACAGAGAAATTTAGTAGAAAACCACGTTTGGTTGAAGTTGGTCAAGGGCAACAATTCTGCCAGACCCTTCTTGGTAAATAAAGGGCTTCAGCGTCAGATTTGATTTTAATCTTTTTAATCTGATTTGTACCAGGACAATTTCTTCATTTGTCATTTGTCTTTCATTCTTGTCACTCTGCTCTTCTCCACTTTCCAAGAGTAGAGACACAAAATTCCACATGCGCACCCAGCGCACAGGAAGGTACAATGGGAAGGATGCCAGATTTGCTATCCGAGGACCCAGGTTCAAATCCAGGCTCTGTGACTGGTGACCTTGGACAAGTTGCTTCACTTGTCTGCGCCATAGTTTCCTTGCCTATAAAATAAATGGGTTGGTTTATTGGGGTTCTAATTTTTTTTTGGTTCATGGACCTCTTTGGCAACCTGGTGAAGCCTTTGAACCCCTTCTCAAAATTATGTTGTTAAATACCTGAAATGCATAGGATTACAGAGGACAGCAACTGTGTTGAAATAGACTTATCTTACAAAACAAATTCACAGCGGGCTCCTGTTTTAGATGAATGTTAAGCTTCTCCCACCTCCAAAGCCCTTTATTGCAAGTGGCTCAGCCAGTTTGGTTGCCAAATACTGAAGGATCACTCCAGTGAAGGAAGCATGCTCCAACATTTTCTCAATGAAATGTCAGCTTCATTTGGCCACTCAGCACCCAATCAATGGCAATGTAACAAGGCAATGAATGTTTGTTAATTTTATTTTATTGTTAAATTAGGTTGGTAGGTTAATTTTTAAGGAAAAAAAATCATTTAGTGATCATTAAGAGTGAGAGAAGGTACCCATAGGTTTGCTCCTTGTAAGACTTCCAAAAGTGATTTGATCAGGGATTGTGGGCACAAAGACTGAATAATCCCTGCATTCCACAGGAGCTATGTACACAGATAAGTCAATGCAAGGGACATAAAACATTATGCAAAATCACTTCAAAGAAAAGATTCGTTGGTTCGGTATCATGGAGCCCACGCTAACTGAACCAGAGGCAGTGACTTTCCATTCAAAAAATCAATTGTCTTAATTGCTGAGTCCAATGCTTGAAGGAAGGCACCCAGGCATGGTGTCCTAGCATCTAGCAGAAATTCCATTTACCCAGGAGACAAATGATCTGTTGCTCTGGTTGGGCTAAGTGATCTCCAAACCCTTTTCCAACCCTATGCATAGCACAGTGCCTCGCACATAGTAGGTACTTAATAAATGTTTATGGATTGACTGACTTTACCATTCCCTAAATAAACGAAGTTTCTTTGGTCCAAGCGGTCAGACCATCCATGAGTACAGCTAACACAAGGTCCCTTAATGAGATACCAATTTGTCTGTGATAAAATATTTCCTGCTTGGCACATCAGTACCACCTTGTGTCAAAACCCAACAATGGAACTGAGTACAATGAATGAATGAATGAATGAATGAATGAATGAATGAATGAATGAGAACAGAAAAAACACATTACCTGATAAGCATCTTGCCAGAATCCTGTGGTTTCTCTGAATGGATGTCTTTCTGTTGGCATAGATATATGTGTATAGCTAACTAACTGGAATTTTTTCTGGTTTTCCATCTTTTTCTAGTTTTCAAAAAAAGTTCCCCTTCAGAATCCTGTGAGAAAACTGAAGTCAAGGTTGAAGGTAAGCTTCACATTAGCTTATTTGAAATGCATAGGATTACAGAGGAAAGCAACTGTGTTGAAATAGACTTATCTTACAAAACAAGTTCACAGCAGACTCCTGTTCTACATGAATGTTAAGCTTCTCCCACCTCCAAAGCCCTTTATTGCAAGTGGCTCAGCCAGTGTGGTGGCGTATACTGGTCAAATACTGAAGGATCACTCCAATGAAGGAAGTATGCTCTAGCATTTTCCCAATGAAATGTCAGCTTCAGTTGGCCACTTAGCACCCAACTCCAACAGGAGTTTTTATCACAATCAACTCAACTTCTTACTCCTGGTGACTGGGGGAGGAACGGAAGTTTCCAGGGTCTAGACCAAGACACCCAATGTTGCAGGGAAATGGATGGCTGGCTTGTCTCCTCATCATAATCTGACTGCACAAGCCCTGGTATCTAGGGCTTCTGGGGCCAGAAAGCTTGGAAGTTTTTGACTGATGGGAGCCTAGGAAGCAGCTGGCCTGGGGAGGAAAAAGTCCTAGACCTTTGCCTGAGAATCACCCAAAGTCCTGGTCAACCCCAGAGGCAATAAGACTGAATTGAAGACCTTGTTTCCCAGGTGCAGCACTGACTAGGAGTGTGTGAATATGGCTGAGTCACTGAAGCCCTCTGGGTCTCAGCTTCTTAGTGGAGAAAATGTCAGGATTGTAGTCAGGAAAATGTGCATTCATATCCTGGACACTCCCTAACTGCTTGATGCTTGATGCTTGTCAGGTTGTTTAGATTCTCTGAGTCTCAGTTTCCCCATCTGTACAATGGGAACAATGATACCTGGTCTCACAGGGTTGTCTTTAGGAAAGCATTTTATAAACCTTATTTGCTCTCTGTGTGACATTGGTTAGGTCACTTCCTTTGCTTGGGCCTCCATTTCCTCGTAGTAAAATGGGGGAGAGGATGAACTGAGTGATATCTAAGATCTCTTCCAGATCTAAATCTAGTGAAAAAAATCAGGCTCTATTCACCTTCAAGCACTCATTTATGGGGTGGTGTGAGAAGGTGTCCCATCCCCTCCCCCACTAACCAACTCTGTCACATCTGGCAAGTCACATGGAGTCACAGACCATTGAAGTGGGAAGGGATTCAGGGGTCATCCAGGCCCAGAGACAAGAAGTGACTCAGTCATGCAGCAACATTGCAGAACAAAAGTTTCCGCAGAAATTTGGGCTCAGACTCAACAAAAGCTTCTGGCCAGCATGGGCTGTCTCTGGGGGTACGAGGGCCTTGCTCAGCTCTTGGAGGGACAGACCACAAGTGCCCAATCTAGGCTCGATGGACACTGGTAACAATAACACTGCCTCCCATTGGTACTGTACTTTTGACGTCCCAATGGGTTTTCAGAGCTTTCATCTGGATTGGTCCTCACAACAATCCCATCTGGGCGACAAGACAGCCCCAGAAGAGAGATGAGGGGGAAGTCCGCCGAAGCCCTATCAGGTTCAGCAGCTGGGGGTGGTCCCCAGCTACTGACCTGGCAGGACTATCACTGGAAATGCAAGCTTCTCACTTGTAGTGCTGTCTTCTTCACCCCAGACCTGTGGTTTCTCACTCAAATAGAAACGGGTGGGCTACTCACCCATGCCTAAGGATCTCATTTTGACTTAGTTTCAAGATGTAACATTATCTATGTTTTACCGAATTTTTATTTGCTTTGTTAGATATTTCCCAATTACATTTTAACCTATTTAGGGGGCACCAAGGAGCATTGTGGGCTACAGGCCACAGGTCGGACCGCTCTACCCTAGACCATAGCATTGTGTATTTCTTTCATTCAGAAAAGAACCCCACTCCCATACCATGTGGTCATGCTGTAAGAAATTCCATAGGATTTCAGCAGCAGTCCCTTGGAATGACATAACCCTTTGCCAACTCTGGACAAATCTGTCTTAAGCGAACACATACAACTTCCTAAAGTCTCTGAGGAGAATAATTCACATTTCCATGTGGTTGATATATTTCAGATGGACAATGTGCTTCCTTGCAATAATCCAATGAGGTGAGAAGCAAAGGTATCATTATCCCCATTTTAGAGATGCAGAAGTTAAGGTTCAGAAGAGGTGGAGCTGGCCAGCATCATAAAATGAGGAAGGGGCCTTTAGACCCTGGATCAGGGCCCTTTCCTGGGCCTCAGCTCTTGACTCATGGGCTCTGGTTGGTGAAAACTTAGATTGTCTGGAGCGTTTGCCCTTGGGAGCAGTGGGTTCACCTTGGCTGGGGGTCTTCAGGCAAAGGCTGGATTACCATTTGGTGGGAATGATGCAGATCAAGGTTCTTAATCACTTTGTGTCCCGGTCTCCTTGGACAGGCTGGTGAAGCCTTTAGATCCCTTCTCAGAAGCACGTTTTTAAATGCATAAATTAATTAATAAATAATAGCTAACTGTGCCAGGGACTGTGCTAAGCATTTGACAATTAATATCTCAGTCAATCCTCACAACCACCCTAGGAGGTAGGTACTACTGTTATGCCCATTTTACAGATGAGGAAATTGAGACAGACGGAGGTTAAGTGACTTGCCTATGATCACACTGCTAGTAAATGTATGAGGCTGAGTTACAAAGGAAACCAATTTTATTGAAATGCAGTTATCAATTAAAAAAAAACTAAGTTCATAGTCTCTAAATTAAGAACTCCAATATCTTTCAGATCCCCATTCAAGTAAGTATTGCCTTAGGTGGCCTCTGAGACCCCTTCCATCTCTGACATTGGAAATCTCTAGGAGATCTGGAAGGATGACTCCATTTAGTATTATTATTTTCATTATTAATAATAATAATAGGGGAAGCTAGGTGGTGCAGTGGACAGAGCACCAGCCCTGAAGTCAGGAGGACCTGAATTCAAATCCGGCCTCAGACCAAACACTTGATACTTGCTAGCTGTGTGACCCTGGGCAAGTCACTTAACCCCAGTTGCCTTAAAATAATAATAAATAATAATAATAATAACTACCATTTATATGGTACTTTAAGGTTTATAAAACATGATATAAACACTAGGTTTTTTTTATTATTATCATTATTATTATGCTGTTGTATGCTTCTGAATTAGACCCAGTGAGGAAAAGACAATCCAAGAAATGGTATCATACAAAAGTGTTCTGAGCAAATTTACAAGCACACCAGTAGCCTAGAATATCCTGCTTTCTCCAGTTTTCATTTTTGGTGCTGTCCCCGCCAGAGCCCAGTTTCTCTGGCTTCTGTTTCCAATTCCTTTGCTCCTATATTTCTTAAAGGACCATGTAGCACTAACCAGGCTTTCTCCTTTTAGGGCTCCACGAGCAGCATTTTGCCAACACATCGGCTTTTTATACCTACACCATCCTACTTGCGAAGAGTGCCACCTACTTCATCATTATCCTCTTCTTCCTGTACCAGAAGAGAGTGGCTGGGAGCCAAGGGACAAAGTAGGCGTGCGGAGACGCCCTTCAGCTCTCAGAGAGGGGAGGGTTTGTCTGCGTGTTCTATTTTGTCTTCTGCAGGCGGTGGCCGGCGGCCATATTGTTGGTTCTTCTTATTTCCCTTCTGCTTAGCAACGCAGCTTTGTTGTAACTTGGAAAACGCAAGTTGGTTTCTTTTAATCTGTTGGACAAACAGGAAACTTTAGGTTGTAAGAAATATGTTACTTTGGGTGCTTCGCTCTAGATATCTATGCAATTCCTTATTGATAGACCTCTTCCCAATAAAAACTACTAAAGCTCCCTCCTTTCAGTGCCCATCGTTTCAGTGTGACCTAGTCAGATGCTTCCCAGTGATGGGATGATGATGTCTCACCTCTGTGGAGTACTTTCAAATGTGTAAAGCACTTGACATACATTATTGCCTTGGAGTTTCACAACAGCCCAATGATCGAGGCATTATGGGTCTAATTCACCCCAATTTACAGATGAAGAAACTAAGGCTCCCAGAGCATCAATGACTCACTCACAGTCACATAGCTAGCAAGTGATGGGGGTAGAGTTTGACCTTGTGTCTTCCTATCTCCCAATCTACCCTTCTTTCCTATACTCTGCTTCTTATGAAACTGGAGCTGAGAATTGGCTGGAATGGTCCATCATGATGAGGTTTCTTCCACTTGCTCGTCTGTATCAATCAGGATGCCCATTCATTTGGTTCCTGATGACTTAGTCTCCTCTGGGCACTTCCAGGGCAATGAAGCAGAGGCTTTTCCCTGTGGGTTTCTGAAGGGCACCCGCTAGAAAGTCAGTAGTGAATAAGTGAGTCCTACAGTCATCAAACATTTATTAAGTGCCTACTATGTGCCAGCTCCTGTGCTAAGTGCTGGGGATATAAAGAAAGGTGGGGAAAAACCAAAACCAGATCCTCTCCTTGAGGAGCTCACATTCCATTGGGGAAGACTGTACAAATAAGAAATAAACAGGATAAATGGGAGTTAAGAGAGATCAGGAGGCTTCTTGTAGAAGGTGGGATTTCAGTTGGAACTTGAATCAAAGCCAAGAGGCAGCAATGGAAGGTCAGTATTCTAGGCATGGGGCATGGCTAAGGAAAATGCCCAGTCTAGAGATGGAATGCGTTGTATAAGAAGCAGTCAAGGGGCCACGGTCACTGGATTGCAGAATATATGGGGGAGGAGGGGAACTCCAAGTTTGGGCAAGCCGATCTTCAGCCAGCCTGATTGCAGCATCACATGCGACCCAAAGAGTAAGAATAGTGAATATGCATAATCTCATTTTATCCTAATAACCCTGAGAGGCAGGTGCTATTATTATCATCTATATTTTACAAATAGGAAACTGAGGCAGAGAGTGGGTGACTTGCCCAGAGTCACACTAAGTTTCTCAGGTGGGATTTGAACTGTGGTCTTCCTTCTTCCGGGTCTAGCACTCTATCCACTATGCCACCTAGCTGCTGAGCCCCATTGGTGGCTTATTTCATAGATGATTTAGGATACAGGTTCCCTCTCTCACGGATGGAGGCTGTTAGCTGAATTTTCTTAAATGCATGATGGGAAATTACAAGGATTATCTTCCTTCCAAAATGGCGCCTTCTTTGGAACTGAGTCAAATGAGCTCTGCTGCCTACTCTCTGTGTGACCTGGGGCAGGTCACTCTACTTTCTCTGATTTATCATTTCTAAAATGAGCAGGGGACCAGACAGCCTCCTAGACCCCTTCCAGCTCTAAAGCAGGTCTGCATGGTCCTAACCTCCTTGGGCCTCAGTTTCCTCATCTACAAAGTGAGAGGGTTACACAAGGCAATTTCCAAGGTTCCTTCTGGCTGCAAACGGATCATATGGTGATCCTATAAGTTATTGTAATTGTCTGGGCCTCGGGTTTCTCATTTGCCAAATAGGGGAGGTGCTTGCAGCAACACATCTCGATAGCTCTTCTGGCTCCAAAGTGACAAGCCCGCCATACTTGTATTATTCAGTGACATGAAGTTTTAATATTGAGGGGGTCACTCAATATTAAAGGAAGGTCTATTCATTGTTAATGTGCACAGCACTGAGATGGAGATCCTTGCATGAAATCCAGAGAAGTTAGTTATGAGGCTCGTGCTTTCCAGAGTCTGGTGGCTTGGAAACAACACTCAAAGCCAAACAGACTAGTCAGTCATTCCCCATTCCCAGGATCCCTCTATTTTTAGGGGGGAAATGAAACCTTGGCATTAGACATTTTGCTCCCAAGACATAAGAAAATCACAGGTGGAGCTGAGGTTCCCTAGAGTTGTACAGAAAGTTAAATCGGAGCACAAACTCGACCAAGTCAACATAAATCTTGGTGTCTCCAGCGATGGAACTGAATCCTGAAATTGCTTTCCCTTTAACTCTCATAAGGGCATAGAAGCTTGGAGAGAATTTTCCATGGTCCATTTAAGCCAATGCCTTCCTGCCAGCATCTCCACATACTTTGGGGGAAATTGAGTCACGCTCACATTGAGGTAGGGACCATGAAGTGTTGGGTATGAGCACTGTTCGGTGACTGGGCACAGCAAGTCATGGGATCAGATTTAAAGCTACAAGCAGCCTCAGAGTTCTCAGCTGAACGCCCTTGCTTTATAGATGAGGGAACCAAGACCCAGAGATGGGAGTGATTTGCCCCAGGTCACACAGCTAGTAAGGGACAGAAGTCCTGGTTTGGGCAGCACCTAGTTCTATGACTAGGTCAGTCATGTATCTAGAGCTGGTAGAGCTCATTACTCTTATCTAGTGGATCCTCACTATACAAATGAAATGACTTCCCTTGGTCACAGGGCCAGTGGTAGGGCCTGGGGTTCAAGTCTTCCAGTCCTTTGACCTTAGCTTCCTTCTCTGTATGAAAGTTGACTTGATAGCTAAGGTCCTTCCCTGCCCTAACATTACATGATTGCTATCCTAATGAAGGGTAAAAGAAGCAAATAGTAGCCTTAAAGGTGGTAGAGAATGCTTCTGCAACATGTACATGCAGAAACCCTTAGAAATCTTGGGGTCTAGGGTGCAAGCAAAGTGAGAACACTATCTCTCTGATGCTCTTGAGGACAAAGAGAAAAAGCCCATACTCCTCCATCTGTTACTGGCTCACTTCCCTATTAATTCTCTCTCTGGGTTCAAAGACCATCTAGTAGAGATGAACTGGAATGTCCTCAGAAAATACTTTTGAGAATTCTCATCCACACCATGTTGAGCAATAACGCTTAATTAAAGCTCATGAGTGTGTGTCGGTCACATGTTCATGTTCTCCTTCCCTGTCTCTAAGCTACAGTCAGCCATCATGAGATTCCTGCCATCACATAATCCACATAATGGCACAATAATTTCTTTGCTGGTCTTCTTGCCACCAACAGGCTTTTTAGGAACAAATGCACCTGGCCCCAGATTTGTAAATTTTGCAGGGCAGTAGCTAACACATTGTGGGTATTTAATGAATAAGTGAGGAATCCTATGGAATCTATACATTATATATTTATTATCAGGATAAGAGGAAGAAGGGAAAAGGGAAAGAGGGAAGAAGGAATCAGAAGAAAGCACTTTGGAGCAAATGACACCAACAATTCCAAAGCGTTTTGAAACCAGCATCACATTCCAGAGGAATAGAAGAGCCTCCCATGGAAACCCTCTAAAAGTTCCCATTCATTCTTAAAGGGGCGGTGGGGGGGGGGGGATAAGGAGAGTAGAAAAGAAAAAAAAATCATTTTTTATTTCAGATTTTTAGAGTTGCTAGCTTATGTTTCCACGGGTGCCCATATATTTCCACCCATTTCTCATTCACTTATTGGTGATAAATGAACAGTGAGATAGATGAACATTTTCAATTCAATAAATAGTTATTAAGTACTTACTATGTGCCAAGCACTGTGCTAAGCACACAAATGAACATCATTTTCTTGGGGTTGATTATAAAAGCAGGAGGTAGGGGAAAGGAGAGTCAACCAGTCAGTCCCCTTCCCCAAACCCCTTCCTGCCCCAAACTCTTATTGGGGTTTGGTTCAGGCTTCCGAAGGGGTCGGGGCTGCAGCAGCGGATGTGTGTATCATGGGCTCCTAATACTCCGCTTTGTCTTTGCAGTGTGGTGGCTAGGTGGAAAATGCTTGCGTCAAACGAGCCACTTCCAGTTGGGGACGTGTGACTGGAGGAGGGGTGGGAGTGCTGTGTGACAAAAAAAAAAGGGCAGTTAAACCACAGCTAAGCCTGTACCTTCTTGAGGGCCGCAGCTAGCATCGATAAAAAGCAGCCTGTGTTAAGGGGCCATGCGCGGGGGCTGCGGCTGGCCTCCTCCAGCCTTGCACAATGAGCTAGCTCTGTGGTACCTCCGAGGATGCTAAGAATAGGAATGATGCACATATTAGCAGGAGTCTGATGCAGACAATCAGCGGGCCCTGCAGGAAGCCTTTCCACCCTTCAAAGTAACACCGTGACATGATCGAGCTTACATGTCTCTGTGTGCCCAGGGTTTGTTGAATGAATATTAAATTCACGACAATGTCCAGTCTTTTGGCTTACACTGTGCATTTCCAGTCTGAGTCCTCTTGGATTCCGGTTTTCTTCACCTACTGCAAATGTTGACCTTCATTCATTTCAACAAACATTTAACACGCTCTATTTGCACTGAGTTAGAGGGCAGAGAGGCTGCCTTTGTCAGGAAGGCCTGGGTTCAAGTGCCGCCTCTGACACATATGGGCCGGGTGACTGCGGGCAAAGCTCTGCCCCTTCCTGTGTCCCGGGCTCCTCCGAAATGAGGAGCTGCTGTGGAGGCGCTAGTCGATAGTGGGCATTGGGAGTTTCCTCCCTGAAAATGCCCCGTCTCCCGTCCCTGCGCTGGTACAAGGCTGTGCCAGGACACTGGGGAGGACGCAAAGTTCAAACCCCTCCAGCCAAAGAGCTCGCGTTCTACAGGGAGGAGAAAACATGTGCCCAGTCAGGAAACGCCAGGCAACTGAAGGAGATCACGGCATTGGTACCCGGCGGCCTGCGAAGGAAGGACTCTGCTCTGTGAGGAGGGACCCCGAGCGCATCCTCGGAGGAAGAGAGCGAGCAGGGAGTCGGGAGCAGGCAAGGGGGACGACGTGCAATGGCATCGAGGAGGAAGCTGGACCGCTGAGCAGGCGGCCCCGCCTGGCCTTAACGAGGCAGGATCTGTGCCTGCCCGGCTGCGGCGCCCTCCTGAACGACACCTGCCATCCCGGGCGGCACGCCGTGGCCGCCCCCTCCTCCCTCTCCTCTCTCTGCTCTCCCTCCCTCCCTCCTCTCAGGCACCACGGCCATTTAGACCCCCCCCAACAGTGCTCTGGTAGCCACCTCGGGTGGCGCTGATCCCATCTGTCACTGGGGGGGGAGGGGGTGTACGCTTCCCAACTGGACTGTTTTTAAGATGCTGCAGTTCGTGGGCTGTGTCTCTCCCCTTCTACCCCCACCCAACACTCACATATGTGCACTCACACACACACACACACTCACAAATACACATATCCTTCCTATACACACTTACAA